CTTTATTTTTACTCCTTTAGCTCTTTATTTTTACTCCTTTAGCTCTTGATTTTTACTCCTTTAGCTCTTTATTTTTACACCTTTAGCTCTTTATTTTTACTCCTTTAGCTCTTTATTTTTACTCCTTTAGCTCTTGATTTTTACTCCTTTAGCTCTTTATTTTTACTCCTTTAGCTCTTGATTTTTACGCCTTTAGCTCTATCCTAACACCTAAATGTGAAAAACTGGGTAATCTTTCTTTAGATAAGGAAATAAACTCATCGGTATGGCGCTTTTCCTGCAGATAATTTACAAGAACTGAGTTTAATTTCAGTGCACCTGAAACAAAATGTAGCATCGTCTTAAAGTCACATTTACACTTTCTGGACAGTTTGAAACCAAAGTAACGTTATTTTATTTACTTTCATAGTTGGAGTTTGTTTACAGAACAGTCAACCCCTGAAACTTGCAGTTGCGTTCACAGACCCCCTGTACTGTGGGAAAACTGCACATTTTGGATGTAGTTAAAAAAAAAAAGGCTTATAAAAACAAATTTTTATAGTTTAAACCCTAAATATGCACCCAGGTGCGTTTTATTTGGTATGCGTTTGGTAAATACAGTCATAATTTAACTTGTAAAATATATTCGGGCTATTTACTTTAATAAAAAGTACCAATTACAATTGATTGAAGATGATGAAGATTGCTCAGCGAAGCAGAGGACTTGCAGCTGTTCGTGCGGCGCTTCAGGAGGAGTCCCGTCTTCTGGTGGTCTTTTCTTGACAGGTCTGAGGAACATCGTGACGGGAAGCTGCCGTCGCTGTGGTTCAGGTTTAAGAACAAACCTCAGAAGAGTCGGCGACGGCAGCGTGCGGCCTGTTCTGGTGCAGGAACGATGGGCTGCGTCTTCCAGAGAGCACAGAGCAGGACATTTAGTTGAATTCAAATTAATTTTTATGGTACAAAATTACTTTATTATATTGTCCTTGATAATTTAGCCTCGAAGTGCTTGAAAAATTAAACATTTCTGTGAAAAAGCCTTAAAAATTTGAATCTTGTGGTTTCAGCGATCGAATATTAAAGAAAATCTGTGATGACTGAAAGGCTGTAAACTGAACTGTGTTTAAACAGGAGTTTACCGTAAAACTGTTTTAATTTAAATTATTTTTAACACATCATCCTCAACAGGAAGCTTTTCATTTTAACTTGGTGTTCATTTTCAAGCTCCCATTCGTGGATGTGCTTTGTTTTTATTTTTTGTAAATTTTAGCGTCTTATTAAAACAACAGTACCGTATTTCTCAGACTATAAGACGCACTTAAAATCCTTTAGTTTTCTCAAAAATTGACAGTGAGCCTTATAATCAGGTGCGCTTTATGTATTATGCTTACTGACCTCAAACTGATTTTATGTGATTATTGTGAATGAGTTGAATAAAGTTTGACTTAAATGTTTTGTTTTGCTTAATGCGCCTTATAGTCTGAAAAATATGGCATCACATACACTAGGGGTGCACCGATTAGTTTTCTGACCGATCACTGATCCCTAAAAGTCTGACCTGCCGATTCCGATGTTGTTTTATAATCGACACTGTCAGGTGTTATAAGGTCACGACGCACCTTCAGTTTTCCAATATATTTTATTGAAAAACATACCCTTGAACAATAGAACAAACTGGTTTTAACTGGCCATGAGGTTGTGCTCCGAAATATAAATGAAGTTCAGACAATTGTTGTTAAAACTAAAAAAATCAGTAAAATCAGTTTGTCGTGCAAGTATCAGCCGATTTCACAAAATTAAGGAAATCTGTGCACCCCTAACATACACATTATACCTTGTATAACCTTTGACCGACCTTGAAGTTGAAAGGATGGAAGGTGTACGCGACACTCCATCTAGTGGTGATGCATAGGCCTGTGGCGATAAACAATAAATCAATTAATCGCATAATAAATTATCGTCCTTATTTTCATTAGTCAACTTTATCGTTTCTTCGTGTCTCTCTTTCTACTGAAGACACTGGACGACAAAAAGATCAACTCTGAGCCCTCCCTTTCTCTTTAAAATCCATTTTAACCGCCCAAAATTGTGTTTTTGGATCGTTAAAAGCAGCTAAGCTGAGAAGCTAAGCTACGAGCTAAGCGAACAGGCCGAACCTCCGTCTTGTCGAAGCTCCAAAATTCACGGTTGAAACCAGTGCCTTGGTGTCAAAAGTTGTTTTTCTCTGCAAAAAGAAGCTGAGAACTTGTTTACCGATTTTTTTATTTTTTTATTAAAAGCTTTGTGTAAAAAATGCTAAAGAGCTCAAACCACACCGAGCATCCGCCATTTTTAGAACCAAAGAGACGGCCCATGTCACGTCAAGGGGCCTCCCTCCCAATTTTCTTAGAGATGCACTGCTCGCTCCCTCACTATCCATCCTTCGGTTCAAACAGTCTTATACTGCCATCCGGTGGTCAAAAAGGTACTACACACAAAATAAATTAAACATTTCTTCTTAAATTTGACATTACTGATTATTGTGAAATTTCAAACAATATTATCGTTTATCGCAATAATTTCTGAGACAATTAATCGCCCAGCAAAATGTGTTATCGTGACAGGCGTAGTGAGGCACATGGCAGTTCCACTCAAGTGTTTTGGGTTCATCAGTGAGCTGTCAGACGGTCTCCGCAGGTGTCGCACGTTTACTCTCTGGTGCAGCAGACGATGACGCAGCCTCTGATGAAGGACTACGTGCCGTTTTCCTGGGCGTCCATGGTTCAGGTCAAATCCGAGCACTTCCGTGCGCTCTCGCATTACTACGCCGCTGCTGCGCTCTGTGACCACACGTGTGAGTGAAATGTTAAAATATTTGTGTACGTTCAGCCTCTTTCATTTTCAGCTCTGTGCATTTGTTTAATGACGCACACAGGAACTGAGTTAAAAACTAACCTGAATGGAGTTGTTCGTTTTCTTCCCTCCCTGCAGTTTCTGCTGAAGAGGAGTGTGACGAGGAGGCGGAGAAGGCCTTCCTCAGGTTTTATGCCAACGCTCCTGCAGGACAAACTCCCAGTCAGATCTTACAAGATCCTGAAAAAAGGCGAAAGCTCGGTGGGTTCACACACGTCCGTTAGCTGCTCTGCAGGAACTGACGTTGACTCTGTTGCAAGCTTCAGACAAACTAGAGGCGCTCATTAAAAAAAAAAAAGTTAAAACTACATTCACACTTTTTTTAAGCGAATACCTGCTTACCTTCAGGTAAAGCCCACCTTCGGCGTGCAGTAATGAAACACGAGGAGGCCATCCGTGTCCACAGTCTGTGTAAGATCCTGAGGAAGATGGACATTCTGCAGGACGTGCTGTCTCAAACACACAAATGCTCTCTAGAGAAATACTTGGAGCTGGATCGAGAGGACGAGTTTGACGAAACGGCTGAAGCTCCGGAGATTCAAGGTGAGAACGTCTAACGTCGCGTTTAGTCTTGGATTAAGGTGCAGGAAGTGACTGTGGCTTCTTCTGCTGCAGCTCAAACTCAGCAGAAACCAGACATCACTCCACCAAACTTCTCCTCAGTCCAAGTTACTGACATCTTCCAAAGGCTGGTGAGGCACCTCAGGGTGGAAACGCATTAAATACTCAACTGATATCATTCAGACCAACATGGACGCCTTTATGGAAGGATCTGTTCATTTTTCACTCATTAGTTCCAATAATTTATTTAACTGTGCAACTGTTTTAAAATCTGTGACACTTTGTGCTGCAGGGGCCCCTGTCAGTGTTCTGTGCAAGGGCTCGCTGGGGCCCGGTGCGTGTCATCTGCATGCAGAGGAGAGAAGGTGGACTGGGTCTCACGCTCCGAGGAGACTCCCCGGTCCTGATTGCAGGAGTAGTGCCTGGAGGCTGTGCAGAGGTGAGGCGTTTTTTCTACTTTGGTGGTTTTTGAAAAACGCTAATTCACGAATTGATCACACTTGTTTAAATGAGCTGTTAGCAGCTGTGTAACATCTGGTGATTGGAAGGTCTGATGTTTGAAAACTGCAGCAACAACTAGTCTGGTGGTTGGATGAGCCTGTGCTGCTGGTTGAAACGTTCACACCTGTTTGTGTTGCTCAGGAGGCAGGACTAAGGGAAGGAGACTATATAGTAGCAGTGGGCGAACACGACTGTAAGTGGGCCAAACATGGGGAGGTGGTCCACATGCTGAAGAGCTGCAGCGACAGAGGGGTGAAGATCAGCGTGGTTACGTTACACTCGCATGATACGCAGGTAAATGGGACTTATTGTGCGTTTACACAATTTTTTCATTCAACCTTTATTCATAAAGGCTAGTCTCACTGAGCCACTCATTTACAAGAGGGACCTGTCAACTGCAGATCTGACAGGTGTGCACTGTGTGTTCACTTCCAGGTGGAGAGGAAAGCTGCCATGCTGTCCCACTGCAGCGACAAAGAAAACTCTCAGCAGCGTATGTTGGGCGGGGCGAAGGGCCAAAGCTCCACCTCCTTGTTGAACTGGAGCAGGAAGAAAAAAAGGGAAGGCGGCGGAGTAGCCAAGAAACTGGGAAGTACTTTCAGTTTGTCATTTGGAAACATCCGTGACACCGAGGCCATGTACTGAGACACTCACAGAGGAGAGCAGAGGACTCACTCAGGGACCCGCAGCAAGGGGGAAAACGGTACGATCTGCACCAACGTCTGGTTCCCAACAACCATGTGCACCAACGTCTGGTT